TCCCGGTGGCTTTCAGAGGCCTCGTGGACCGGGGGTTACGGGTGGCCCCAGGACCACGTGCACACCCGCAGAGCTGGGCCCCTAGGGCCTGGTTTGGCCTCACGGGCCCAGCACGAGGCCTGAGGGCCCCTGTCTGCTGCATTGGTGGGGGGAGCCCCCAAGCCCGAGGGCCGTGCTGGGTCCCAGACTCACCTGGGTGTGTGTTGTCCAGAGCCGGACGGCCCCTCCCGAGGGGTTGAGCGATCTCCGCCGTGGTGCCAGCCAAGCTGACGTGACTAGGAAGTAGAAATGGAGGCTGTGGCTGCCCTCGGGGTCGGGTGTTGGGACAGCTGTGACAGCTGGAAGCGGAGGGGCTGGGGGCTGCCGGTGGGTGCAGAGGTGGGGCGGGAGGGATGGGGAGGGGTCACAGGCCGAGCTGGGGTTCAACGAGGGTCTTGTGAGCACCGAAGAACGGAGGCAGGTGGGCCACAGAGGGCTCTGAGCGGCTCTGGGAGAGCAGACCGTGGGGGTGGCCTGGGTCAGGGCAGCGGCAGTGATGGGAGGCCGGGGCCGAGCCCCAGTGTCTGCCGAGGTGCAGGGCTCGGAGGATGAGGAGCTGGTATCTTGCCCGGGTGTGCAGGGGGTGGGAGCCGTCAGAGGCGCATGTGCTGCCCAGCCGGTGGGGGGCCGTGGGGGCCAGCACAGAGCAGCCCTGCTCTGTGGCCGGGCAGACGCCCCCTCTGCTGCTTGCTGGGGCCACCTTCCTGGCAGTCGGGGCTGAGGGGAGGGGATGTTACTCAGCCACGGGAAGACACAAAGCACGGACTGGTACACGCCACCTCGAGGGTGAACCTCAGACACTGCTCTGTGCGCAAAGCCCATCGCAGAAGGCCACATGCACTGCCCGATGCCACGTCGGCACAGGCCAATCCACACGGCAGTGGACCGTGGTTGGGCCCGGGTCAAGGGTGTCCTCTCTGCGGTGATGGCGGTACATCCTTGAGAGGGACTGTGAACCTGTGTATTTGACGCTTTCCGTGGCCGCATTTGATGGTACGTGAATTAGAGCTAATTTTTTTTAAGTTCATTTTCTTTAGTAAACTCTACACCCCACGGGGGGGCTCGAACTCACAACCCCTAGATCAAGAGTCACTCGCTCCAGCGACTCAGCCAGCCAAGTGCCCCTAGAGCTAATTTGTTTTTCAAAGATTTATCTATTTATTTTAGAGCACGAGCAGGGGGAGGGGCGGAGGGAGAGGATCTCTGCTGAGCGCAGAGCCTGATGTCAGGACTCGATCCCATGACCCTGAGACTAAGACCTGAGCTGAAATCAAGAGTCGGACGCCCAACCGACTGAGCCACCCAGGCACCCCAGAGCTAATTTTTTTTTTTAAGGGGAAGTATTAGTGGTAAAACTATCTGATTAGCAAATGATTTTAAAAAAATCAAAGCTGGCGGCCCTTCAGCCCTGCCTTCCGGAGGCGGGCACGCGTTCTTTCAGGGGCCTTGTGCCCCCGGGGCGCCAGGAGCCTCTGTGCGCCCTGTGGTGCGGCCCAGCACGGCACGTTCTCTCCTCCCAGACTCCTGCGTGAGCAGTGGATCCGGGCCAAGTACGAGCGGCAGGAGTTCACCCACCCTGACAAGCAGGAGCCCTACTCCGCAGGTAAGGCCCCGTCTCTGTGCCTCCGACCCCCTCTGTCTCTCTGTCTCTCCGCCCTGGTCCCTGTACCCCTCCCGGCACTGCCAGACTCATTTCGAATCTGGAGGGCCGGCTAATTGGTCTGGGCCCGTGTCCGGTCCTCCTGACCCTGAGCTGGGTGGCCTGGCTGGTCGGGGAGGTGGGCCCGTGCTGGGCTGTCTGCAGGGTGAGCAGGTGCCGGTGGGGGGCGCGGAGCGGGCGCGCGGTGGGGCCCAGTCTCGGAAGACGGGAGGTGTGATGTGGGCCTGCCTCTGCATCCTGGAGCTGCCCTGTCGGGGAAAACGTGGGGTCTGGGTTCCAGAAGTGGGGGTGTGCACAGGGCAGCAGCCCCGATAGACCCCTCCCCTGCATGTTTGGGTCCGTTCCAGGCGCTCAGGTCTGCGAGGGCCCGGTGTCTGCCTCCTGCCTCGCTGAGCTCAGGAGGTGGTAATGACCGTGTGACAAGCTGGGAGCCTTCCTGCCTACAAGTGTGTCCCCCTCCCAGGCCCGAGGTCCCCCATTAGAACACTTTCCCCCAAGTTCCTGGTGCCGCCAAGCCCTGTCCCTCTTGGACAGGGGTGAGAGAGTGGGCCAGGGGCAGAGGGGACTGCGGGAGGGGCACGGTAGCGGGCCCTGAACTGGTGTCCTTGGAGCCGGCGGCTTCTCAGTCAGCCCCCCTCCAGGGCCCGCAGAAGGGGCAGAGGCTCCATCCGCCTGCCGCCACCGAGGTCCTCGCCAAGCCACCGTCCCGTGTGGAGGCGGCCGGTGCGCTGGCCCCGCACAGCTGCTAAATCTCATCTGCTCATGGCAGGGGCCTCCCCAGTGCCCCCCACAGGCCCCCCTGGAGCTTCCAGGAGGAAGGGCAGCATTCAGGGGCATCCAGGAGCCCCACGCCCCACGGCCTCTGAGGCCTGGCCAGCCAGGTGCCCCCAGACCCAAAGCCTGCACAGGCCCCAGCCCCTCCGAGCCCCCTGCTGCCAGCCCCAGTGTTGGGGGTGTTGGAGCGGGTGCACCCGGGTACCCCCTGAGGTGTCCCTGGCCCTGTGGTTTCCCTCTGCGGGCTGCTCCCCCTGCCCTGTGAGGAGCACCAGGGGATTCCCGTGGGCACTTCCTGCCACAAGAGCACTTTCTCAGGCCCGGGGAGGACACGCCCACCTGGCCCCACGGAGGCAGAAGTGGCCCGGCCCCTCCCACGAGGAGGAAGGGAGCCGAAGGCCTCGGGAAAGGCCGCGCGCGGCCCTGGGAGCCACATGAGGCCCAGGCTGGCGGCCACGACCCACCCCCACCCCACCCCCCCAGCTCAGAGGGGCTGCGGGGACCAGCAGGTGTGGCGGGAGCCCGTGCCCCCCGCGGGGCATGGCGGGCGTGGGGTGCGCCGCTCACAGCTTGTCCCACTGCGTGTGGTGCCCCGGGCCTCCCGGGAGGAAGGGCTCCAGCACATTTCTCTGAGGGGCACCAGGCCCCAAAGCCGGACGTGAGGGCGACAAGACGGGCCACAGGGGAGAGGACATGAGCCCTGCCCACGGAGGGTGTGGACCGGGGAGGGAGGAGGGCTCGGCCCTTCTGACAGAAGAGGTCCACTGTCACCGAGGAAGAAACGGGGGAACGGGACGGTCAGCAGCGAGGGCCCCAGCGGAGCAGGTGCCGAAATCCAGGGAAGCTGGGGGGAGCCAGGATTTGTGCGTCTCGAAGCGTCTTCCCCTGGATGGGGATCGGGGTGGAGGAAAAGGGCCCGGCCGGCCGAGAAGCTGCTGGACCCGCCTCCCCCCGCGTGGACGGGGCACCAGTGCCCGGACGGCGTGGCTGCCGTGATGTTCTTGCTGAAAATGCAAAGCCTCGCCTCGGCTGTGAGGAGACGCCGGGTGGACCCCGCGGAGGGACCCTGACCGGACTCGCTGGCCAGCACTCCTCGGGGGCATCAAGGCCAAGAAGCGGCTGCACGTGTGTGCCCGGGGGGCATCGCGGGGCAGGGGCGGCAGCGGGGCCGCCGTGAAGGGGGTTAGTCGTGCCGTCCGAGGTGGCTGCCCGGCCCTGAGGCCCCTACTGCGGCCACCGGGGCTTCCCTCAGGTCACCGCACGCGCTGACGCCAGGGAGCGAGGGGTGTGGGGAGGCCGCGGGGCCGGGGCTCCGGGTGGCTCCAGCCTGGCGCTCCCCGCCCTTGGCCAAGGTTGCAGCCAAGGCCACGGGAGGTGTGGAGATAAGGGGCTTCCACCTGCCCCACCCCGGCTCACGGGGGCGGCTCTGGTGACGCTCCTGGCTCGCTCCGCACGCTGTGCCCCGCCTCGAGCCACAGCCTCAATGGCCGCCTTTCACAGGCCGGACAATGCCCCCCGTTGTCCCGAGGACCGGGCCGCCTGGGCCGCCCCCAGTCACCGACAGACACAGCACTTCCTGCCGAGGCTTCGGACCCCATCCCCCTGCCTCCTCTCTGTGCAAAGCAGGGCCGGTCCCAGAGCTGCCACCCTGCTCCGCCTTTGTCCTAAGTGTCACAGGGTGAGCAGAGAGCTCCCTGCGTGGCAGAGCCCGTCCCCCCGGGCCTCAGTTTCCTCCTCTGTGTAGTGGGGAGGACACGGTGCTCAGCATGGGGTTGTCATTGGAAGCATTGACTAATGTCAGATGCAGCACGCCCAGTGGGCCTGAGGCATCCCTGGGGTGGCAGGTGCAGGTCCCTTCAAGGGAAGGTGTTTGTGGGGTTCGGCCAGATGTGCCTCCCCCCACTGGATTCAGGACTGCTTACGGGCAGCATCTGCGTAGGAACCAGGGTTTGGGGCACAGACTTGGCCATGCAGGAGGTTGTGCCGGTCCCCCAGTGAGGTGGCCGGGGTACCAGGGAGGGAGGGACAAAGGAGGCCAGGCCTGGGCCCCCATGTCAACCTCTTGGGGACTAGAACCTGCAGGCCTGGAACTAGGTCCTGGCCCTTCTGCGGAGGTGCCCAAGGTGGGCCTCAGTTTCCCTGGTGTCTTCTCAGGTCCTGGCTCTGTGCCCAGAGCACACCTTTCCACCAGGCATCCCCTGGCAGAGGCCACACGGTGTGGGGCCCATCTCCTGCCCTGGGAGGGCCACCCGGGGTCTGGGTACGGAACACCCAGCCTGGGCCACCCGGTAAGCTCTCCTGCCCCTCAGAGCAAGGCCGCGTGTCCCTGCTCCAGTGAAGAGGTGAACGTGTATCTTGTTTACGTAAGGTGCAGCCCACATCTGAGCTCCGTGCCCCGTGCAGGGGATGGTCCTGTGACCAAGGCAGATGCAGGACAGTCCCACTCTGCAGGCTGTCGTCAGCCGCCCCCAGCCCCCGGCCCCTGCTTGGTTCCATGCCCCAGACTCATGCCTCTTCCGGGGTCATTGCACGGGGCCATCCGCAGCGGAGGCTGGCCCTGCCGCGCCGTCCCCGTGGCTCCGTCCTGAGTGTGGAGAGGTGTTGCGTGTGCGGATGAGTTCCCCAGCCGGGGACCTCGGGTTGTGTTCGGTTCGAGGCCACTGTGAATGCAGGCTTTCAAACGTGGACGTGGTTTTCTGGGTCGTGTGAGAAGCGTGTGGTGGGTCCTCATTAATTTAAACAGTTTTGCCGAGTGACTCCACTGTCCTGCCGTCCGTCCGGCAAAGGGGGCACCGTGCCTGAGTGCTTGCCTGCACCTGGGACGGCCGTTTTTGTGGCTGGGTGTGGCCACTCCTGGGGCCAGTGGTGGCCGACCGTCGCCACTGACGGTGCTGAGGATCCTTGCGCTTCCTCCAGGCGCTCCTCAGAGGGGCTTCGGGAGGAGGCAGCCAGGGAGGCCCCGGGGCAGGTGGGGCCTGGCACTCAGCGGGTGCCGGCTCACGGTAGGGCCCTGCACGCTCTAGGCGCTCAATAAATGCTGAGTGAAGCATCTGGCCTCTGCCTCAGGACTGGCCGGTCCTTTGGGAGGAAGCGGTCTCCCCAGCACAGCCAAGCTCCAGGTATGCGTGTCCGGGGGGGGGCGCCGCTGGGTCCTGGCCTGCTGCGTGCGGCCAGGGGAGACCCCTCTGGCAGGGGTGCGGTCGGCAGGGGCGTGGGGGGAGGGTGGGGCAGCACAGACACCCTGAGCCTGTGTAGATGTCAGGACAGCACGGAGCCCTGGAGTCTGCAGGGCTCTGGAAACCCCGGCTTGGAGGCCCCGAGTGTGGTGGGCGGGAGTCGTCCCCGGTCAGGCCCCCCTCCCCGGGGAGGCCAGGCCATGACGGGATGGGCAGGCCGCTGGCTTCATGGGGGGCCCGACAGCCGTCCTTCGGCTGGGGCCAAGTCTGGGACCCTGGCCCGCGCCCGTCCCAGTGCCTGGAATTAGGCACCCTGGCCGCCGGCCGCTGCAGGCACGTGGCCCAGGAGCCAGACCGACTTGGGGCCAGCGCCCCCCTCCGTCCCGCGGCTTCCAGCCTGGCTTGGGCCAGGGGGTGTGTGCGGTGGACGGTGGGGCTGGCTCCCCGCCCCCACTCAGACGGCCGCGGCCCACGTCCTGAGGCACTGCTGGGCGCAGCAGGCAAGGCGGGCAAGCGGGCGGGCATGGGGCAGGGCGTCCTGCAGGGGCCCGAGGGTGGCGCTGGCTGGCAGGGTGACCTCGGACCAGGGCCTCGTCATGGGCAGTGTTCAGGGGTGTGGGTGGCCGCCCGCCCTGCAGATGGCACGGCTCCAGCTGCTGAGCAGAAGCTACCCTCGGGCGTGTCCCTGCGTCCACAGCGTGGCTGACCTGCAGGCCGGTGGACTTGCAGCTTTGCCCTGGGTAGAGTGCTCAGGTGGTCGCTCTGGGTAGGGCCCCGTGTGAGCCTGGGGCCTTGGTGGAGGCCCTGTTCCCGTGCACACAGTGGGGATAGGCCTGCTGGTGCTGTGCGCGGGGGGCCCGGGGGGGAGGGGAGAGGCCCCATCTGGCGCTGTCCCGCCACAGACTGAGAGGCACCAGCTGCCCCCTCCCCGACGCCAGGCCGCCGCCTTTTTAGGGTCGCATGTCTCAAGCACAGAGAAAATAGCTCCTTGTCCCTGTGATGTCAGGGAGGGGCTGCCAGGGCTGCAGCGGCGGGCGCGGACCAGGGCCTAGAGGTGGCGTCTGGAGTGCGAGCCAGCCCCGGCCGTCGGGGTCTGGGCTCCGCGGTGGGCCGCACCGCCCGTGCGGGCACTGACGGCATGCCGGTCCAGCCGTCTCCTCCCACCGTGGGCCAGCCTCGGGCGTGGCAGCAGGACGGGTTCCCCAGGGAGAGTGCCCCGAAACCCCGGGCAGAACTGCTGGGCGGTTTGTACGGAAAGCCACAGACCCTGACTGTGACCGGCGAGCCCCAAGGAACGCGCCCACGGCATGCGGGTGTCCCCAGGGACTTGGTCCCGCGGAGCCGGAAGAGCTGGGACTGCGCCACGGGCACGGCGGCAGCAGGCTCCCCTGCCCCTGCCCTGTGGCGGGACAGCACAGCTAGGCATGGGGACACACGGGGCACAGCTCCTCTGGGGCACAAGGTCCTGGAACTGGCTTCGCTGACGGGAACGTGACAGGACTGAACATGACGGGAAGACAGTATTCCCTTCCTGGGGCAGCGGGCCACAGAATTTGTGCCTGACGGCCTGGTGCATCCGGGGCTCTGAGCTCCGCAGAGTCGGGGGGCTGGAGTGGAGGGGTGGGCCACTCCTCCCTGCGTCTCCTGTTTCCACAGTCACTTCTCCCTCTGCCTCCCGCGTGTGAGGACCCTTGTGATGACCTTGGGCTCACCTGGACAGTGCAGGACGCTTGCCCGTCCCCAGACCCTCCAGACACGTGCAAGTCCTATCCTGAGGACTCAGCAGTGGGCACCTTGCTCTGCTCTGCCCACCCCCCGCCCCCCGCCCCGGCCACACAGGCGTCTCCTCACACATTCGCCCGTGGGCCTGCACACAGGGTAGTGCACTGCACCCCTTTCCCTGTTTCTTACGCTTCTGGAAGGAAATGGGAAAACACCCCAAACAGTAGGTAGCAGCGGGCAGCCTCTGGGGAGGGGGCGGCCTCGCGTCCCAGCGCCGTTGGTGAGTCCGGCCCACGCCCACCAAGCTTTGCAGCCTCGAGGCCGACAGGTCTCCCGACCGCAGGCTGGAGTCCTCCCACCCACGCCCTCTGTGTGGGTCAGGATGATGGCCTCCGCTCTGGTCCACTGTGACCCTCTGACCCACACCCTTTCTCTCCCCAGGATACCGAGAAGGCTTTCTCTGGAAGCGCGGCCGGGACAATGGGCAGTTTTTAAGTCGGAAGTTTGTGCTGACGGAACGGGAAGGGTCCCTGAAGTATTTCAACAGAAGCGATGTGAGCCCGGCACAGGGCCTGTAGTGACTGTTGTCCCCAGCTGCCCTCAAACGATTCCTGGCTGGAATGGCTGCCCGCTCCCGTGGGGACCCGTGCCCACCCCTTGGTCACAGTCGCTCCCTGGGGCTGGGCCTGGTTGGCAATGCTGGGTACTCCCAAGACCGACAGGGTCATCCAGGCAGCGGGTGGGGAGGGGCTGGCTGGGCCCTGCGCCCACCCAGACCAGCTCCAGGTCAGGACATCCCTGGTGACACGCAGAGCCAGAGGGCACCGCAGGGCAGTTTGCCAGCTCCCGGGCAGAGAGGAAAGCCAGGCTGGTGGGACGGGAGCAGGGCGGGGGCACAGCAGACAGAGGAGGAGCTGGTCGGGGAGGGGGGGGGGGTCTGCCCAGGTGTCAGACATCCCCCTTCCTCATCCCCGGGGAGGGCAGTGCTGTTACCTCAGACTTACAGGTCAGGAAGCCCAGGACCAGAGTGGGTAGGTAACTTACCCAAAGCCACACAGCACACCCGGCACCCCCAGGCCCGCCCTGCCTGCTCCCCTGCCCGCCTGGAGCTAAGGCACGGCCTTGCTTCCAGGCCAAGGAGCCCAAGGCTGTCATGAAGATCGAGCATCTGAACGCCACTTTCCAGCCAGCCAAGATCGGCCACCCCCATGGCCTGCAGGTCACCTACCTGAAGGACAACAGTACCCGCAACATCTTTGTCTACCACGAGGACGGGAAGGTGGGTGCCGGGAGCCGGAGCGCTCCGCCCCGCACGGCCGCACGGAGCCGGTTGGCCCTGGCCGGGGAGCGCACCTAGCACCCCTGCGCAGGAGGGGGACGGGCTGGGGACACGTGCACAGCGTCCTGCTCCACGGCCGACCCAGCCGCCTCGCACGCAGACCCCCTGCAGGGTGAGGGCGCCGGGAGCCCCCAGCCAAGCCCTCGAGGTCTGTCCTTCCGTCACAGGTGGCCCGTCCTCCTCGTGGCCTCGGTTTTCCGTTTTTACCTCCGCAACACGGGCATGTGAGTGAAAGGGAGAAACGTGTCTGCGACGCTTCAGACACACAAGGGTCTGGCAACCACTTCTCTTCTCCCTTTTGTCGTGTGTGAAAACACACCTAAAATTCACCATTTTCGTGATGTGTAAGCATACGGTTCTGGGTACGTTCATTGTGCAGCCCAACCGCCCATTCCAGAACATTCCGTCCCCACACACGGAGACCCTGTCCCCGTGATGCACAGACCGCCCCCCCCCCCCCCTCCCCCAGCGCTGGCCCCGCCGTCGACTCTGTGTGAGTCTCACGCCTCTGGGACCTTGTGTGAGTGGGGTCCCCGTGGGGGCAGCGGTCCGGTCGCTTCCTAAGGCTGCGTGGCCTGTCGTGTGGATGGACCGCACTGTTTATCAGCCCCTACCCTGACGGACAGCCGGTGGTTTCATGAAGGGTGCTGCTATGAACTTGGGGCTACAAATACCTGAGACCCTACGTTCAACTCTTGTGATTATACAGCCAGAAGTGCAGTTGTGGCGTCGGGTGGTATCCGTTTGAGGACCCTCCCCACTGTTGGTCCACGGCAGCCGCACGGTTTGCGCTCCCACCGACAGGGCGCCAGGGCTCTCTCCACACCCTCCAGTAGCTGTTTCCGGGCTCTGACGGGCACCGTGATGTGTGCGAGGTGCTCTCGTCTTGATTTTCATCTGCATTTCCCTGATGGTGACTGAGGTTGAGCATCTTTTCATGTCCTGGTTGGCCATTTGTATGTCTTCAGAGAAAGATCTATTCAGGTCCCATTTTGCCCATTTTGGATTTTGGTTCTTTGTTTCTTCAGGTGTTGAGTTTTAGGGCTTCTCTATATTTTCTGGATATTGATCTCTTAGAGGATACTCGACTTGAAAACGTTGTCTCCCAATCTGTGGGTTGCCTTTCCCTCTGTGGATAGTGTCCCCTGAAGCACAAAATTTTTAAATTTTCATAAACTCCCAATTTGTCTTTTGTTGCCTATGTCTGTGGTGTCAGATGAACAAAATCATCGCCATATCCAACTTCATGAAGCTTTTGCCTTGTGTCTTCTTCTAAGATTTGTATGGTTCAGGTTTATGTTTAGGTCCTTGATCCACTGAGTTAATTTTTTTAAAGATTTTATTTATTTATTAGAGCGAGAGAGAGCAGGAGGTGGGGGGGGTCAGGGTCAGGGCAGAGGCAGAGGGAGAAGCAGACTTCCTTCTGAGCAGGGAGCCCGACACGGGGCTTGATCCCAGGACCCTGAGATCATGACCTGAGCCACCCAGGCACCCCCCCCATGAGTTAATTTTTATGTTTTGTAAGAGTCCATTCTTTTTTATTTTATTAATCACCATATGTGACATCATTAGTTCTTGATGCAGTGTTCCATGATTCATTGTTTGTGCATAACACCCAGTGCTCCACGCAGAACGTGCCCTCTTTAATACCCATCACCAGGCTAACCCATCCCCCACCCCCCTCCCCTCTAGAACCCTGTTTGTTTTTCAGAGTCCATCGTCTCTCATGGTTCGTCTGCCCCTCCGACTTACTCCCCTTCATTCTTCCTCTCCTGCTATCTTCTTCTTCTTTTTTTTAACATATGTTGCGTTATTTGTTTCAGAGGTACAGATCTGTGATTCAACAGCCTTGCACAATTCACAGCGCTCACCATAGCACATGCCCTCCCCAATGTCTATCACCCAGCCACCCCATCCCTCCCACCCCCCACCACTCCAGCAACACTCAGTTTGTTTCCTGAGATTAAGAATTCCTCATATCAGTGAGGTCATGTGATACATGTCTTTCTCTGATTGACTTATTTCACTCAGCATAACACCCTCCAGTTCCATCCACGTCGTTGCAAATGGCAAGATCTCATTCCTTTGGATGGCTGCATAATATTCCATTGTGTATATATACCACATCTTCTTTATCCATTCATCTGCCGATGGGCATCTTGGCTCTTTCCACAGTTTGGCTATTGTGGACATTGCTGCTATAAACATCGGGGTGCACGTACCCCAACTTCATTATTTTTTTTTTCTTTAAAGATTTTATTTATTTGACAGAGAACACAAGTAGGCAGAGTGGCAGGCAGAGAGAGAGAGGCAGAGGGAGAAGCAGGCTCCCCGCGGAGCAGGGAGCCCGATGCGGGACTCGATCCCAGGACCCCGGGATCATGACCTGAGCCCAAGGCAGACGCTTAACGACTGAGCCACCCAGGCGCCCCCAGCTTCATTCTTTTTTACGTGGATATCGTTTCCCCAGCACTGTTGAAAAGACAGTCCTTTCCCGATTAAATGGTATTGACACCTTTTCTCAACAAATAATTTGACCAGTTTCTGGTCGGTCTTTCTGCCAGTGCCATATGCTCTTTGGACTGTGACTTCATCGTAAGGTTTGAAATTAGAAGTGCAGTTCTTCCAGTTTTATTCTTTTTAAGGATTATTTGGCGACTTGGGTTCCCAGATATTCCATATGAATTTTGTCAAATACATTTCATGCATCAACTAAAATGATCGTGTGATTTGTTTTTCCTTCATTCTATTAATGTGGTGTATTAACTTCATGAGTTTTCATGTTGAGAATCCCTTGCATTTTAGGAATAAATCTCACTTTGTCATGGTGTATAATCCTTAATATACTGCTGAATTCAGTTCGTTAGTATCTTGTTGAGGACTTTTACATCAGTGTTCACAAGGGCTATTGGTCTGTGGTTGTCTTGTATTTTTGTCTGGCTTTGGTATCCAGGTTATGCTGGGTATAATATAGAACACCTCACAGAATGAGTTAGGAAGTGCTCTCTCCCCCTCAATTCTTTTGGAAAAGTTTGGGAAGGATGGTGTTGCTTAAGTGTTGAGTAGCATTCACCAGTAAAGTCACCAGTAAAGCCATCAGGGCCAGGGCTGTTCTTTGTTGGGAATTTCTGATGACAAATTTGGTCTCCTTACTCGTTTACAGGACCATTCAGATGGTCCCCTTCTTCCTGATTTAGTCTTGGTGGGCTTTCTTTTTCCAGGAATTTGTCCACTTCATCGAGGTGACCCTGTTGTTGGTGTACGGTTGTTCACAGCACGCTCTCATAGACCTTTTTATTTCTGGGAGCAGCATCCCCAACTTTGTGTCTGATTTTAGTGACTTGAGTCAGTTTCTTAGACCATCCAGCTCAAGGCATGCCGATTCATTGATCTTCTCGAAGAAGCATCTTTTGCTTTCATTTATTTTCTCTATGGTTTTCTTTTCTCTATTTCATTGATCTCTGCTCCAGTCTTTATGATTTCCTCCCTTCTGCCAGCTTTGGGTTTAGTTTCTTCTTTGCCTAGTTCCTTCAGTTGTAAGTTCGGTCGTTGGTTTGACATCCTTCTTGTTTTGTAATGTCACCATTTATAGCTACAGATTTCCCTGTTAGCACCACCGTTGCTACATCCCGTGTTCTGGTGTCGGGTTTTGTTTTCCTTCATCAAATTTCATTTCATTTCTAATTTCCCTTGTGATTTCTTCCTTGATCCACTGGTTGTTTAAAAGTGTGTTACATTTCCGCCATGTTGTGAACGTCCCAGTTTTCTTTGTGTTGACTTCTGACTCCACCCTGTTGTGGCCAGAGAAGATACTCTGTACGACATCTGCCTTTTAAAATCAACCTAGACTTACCTGCGGCCTCACGTGTGGTCGATCCTGTCCAACGGTACGACGCCCCGTGGGCCCTAGGGAGGAATGCCTGTGCCGTCCTGGTCAGGTGCTGCCTGGTTGGATCTGGTTGGTTGTGGGAAGTCCTCTGTTCCCTCACTCCTGCCGGATGTCTCTGTCCATCAGTGTGAGTGCAGCGTCACGGTCTCAAGCCGTCATTCGAGGCTGGCGGTGTCCCCCTTCAGCTCTGTCGGGTTCGGCTTCCTACACTTTGATGTCTGTCATTAGGCGCGTGAGTGTAATTGTTAGATCTTGCTGTGTCGAGGCTTCTACTCACATAGACTGTCCTCCTTCGTCCCTGTGGCCTTTTCCTTAGTCTGTTTGTCTGATGTTTGTGAAACCACTCCGGCTCTCTCCCGCGGGCTGTCCACGCGCAGTGTCCTTTCCCATCCTTTGACTTCCGACCCGCTGTGTCTTTAGATCTCGGCCGCATCTCTCGTGGACAGCCAGTGGTTGTACCGTGTGTTTCTGTCCGTCCTGCCGTTCTCTGCCTGTTGACTGGGGAGGTTCATCCCTTTACCTGTGATGTGAATGCTGGTAAGGAGGGACTTCCTTCTCCCTTGTGCCCTTTATGTTGTGTGTGGCCTACAGCTTTTTTTGGTCCCTCGTTTCCTACATTCCTGTCGTCTTCTGTGTTTATGTGAAATGTTTAAATTCCCTCCTAATTTCCTTTTGTGTATATTCTATAGCTCTTTTCTTCCTGGTTGCCATGGAGATTATATTTAACATCCTAAACTTATAACCTTCTAAATCGAATTTGTAGTAGCTTAACTTCAGGAACGTGCAGAAACCCTGTTCCTTCACAGCTGTCTGTACGACACCCCTTTGGTTGTCGATGTCACGGTATTTCATCCTTACACGTTGTGTGCCCCAAAATACAATCATTCTTTTAAATGCACTGTCTCCTAATGTAGGTATAAAACAAGACTTGCAATTACAAACAAGTTAACAGTAATAGCAGCTTTTAATTCCTGATTATTTTTCTTTAAAAGTATTAGTCTTTTTATTTTTTAACAGATTTATTTGAGAGGGAAAGTGACAGAGAGCATGAACAGGGAGGAGAGGAAAAAGCATGCTCCTTGTTTGGCAGGGAGCCCGACATGGGGCTCGATCCCAGGACCCTGGGATCATGACCTGAGCCGAAGGCAGACACTTAACCGAGGCGACCCCAAAATATTAGTCTTTTATATCACATTGATAACAAAAAGTAGTTACAAATCTTTCCTGATATCATTTCTCCATACAGCCTCAAGTTACTATTGTTCTTTCATTTCATCCTTGATCCTCATCTTAGGGGAAAAGTGCTGGTTTTTCCCGACTGCACGAGGTCAGCTGTAGACTTGTCACATAATCAGGCCTTCATCATGTTGACATATGTCCCATCTAACCCCGCTTTGGTTTTATCGTGAAGAGATGTTGTACTTTGTCAGTTGCTTTCCTTTGCTTTTTCTGCATCTACTGAGATGATCATATGGTTTTTAAATGTTTTGTTGATGTGACATGTCCCGTTGATTGGTTTGCAAATGTTGAGCCATCCTGCATCCCTGGAGGAAACCCACTTGCTTGGGGTGAATGATCCTTTCAGTGTATTGTTGGATTTGGTTTGCTGGTATTTCGTTGAAGATTTTTGCATCTGTGTTCATCAGAAATATTGACCTGTAGTTCTTTTTCATAGTGTGTCTGGTTTGTTATTAGGATAATGCTGGCCTCATAGAATGAATCTGGAAGCTTTCCTTCTATTTTTTTAGCAATAGTTTATTAACTCTCTTTTAAACGTTTGGTAAAATTCACTGGTGAAGCCATCTGGTCCTGGACTTTCATGTGTTGTGTTCTTTGGTTACAGATTCCATTTTGTTACTAGTAATAAGTGTGTTCAAGTTTTCTGTTTCTTCCTGATCTGGTTTTGTAAGATTGCATGTGGTATTAACAGGTTTTAGGCGGGTCACGGCTCAAGGCATATGGGCCAATCTTCAGCTTTATCCAGAAGCCTCCACCCTCATTTTCCTTGGGAGACTGAGCCCAGCGCCCTTCTGTATGTGTAGCATGATGCTCTGCTGGCATGAGTCCCCAATGGCCCCCCTCCCTCAAAGAGGGTTGTGGTTAGGGTACCTGCTCTGGGCTGGGCTCTGTGCCTAGATACCGGTAAGCCTGTTTGACAGGGCTCTGCCCTCAGTTAGTGACTGCACCATTTGCCAGTAGAGACGGGCATGAGTCAGAGAAGCGACTAAAATCCCACCTGTACTGAGGGCTAGGAACAGTGACTCTGCATAATGGGGGGGCGGGGACCATATCCCAAAGGTGAAGACAGGTACTGGGATGGCATGTGCTAAGGCCCTGTGGCCAGATGGAACAGAATAGATTTGAGAAGCTGACAAGGCTGAGGTAGGAAAGGAAGGGCATTTGAGCTGGGCAGACCCTGCAGGGCCTGTGGCCATGCTGTGGACTTGTATCGTTATTAGAGGTGCAGTGTTTTGCTTGGAAGATGTCATGGCCCAACTTGAACTGCCACTGACCTGTCCAGCTGCCATGGTTTCAATGATCTGAGGGAGTCCTGAGGGAGGTGGGAGACCAGTGCTGGGGAGCAGGCAGGAGACAATGCCTTCTGGCCCCAGGAGAGGGACTGGAGAGTTCACTGATGACCCGAATGGGGTTGGGTGCACCAGGGGTGAAGAGAGTTGTGGGCAGGGCCCGGAGTGTAAAGTCACAGCCTGAATTGGGAACCCTGTGCACCAGGTGGGGAATACAGAGCATTGGTGTGGACACTGCAGCATGGGCCTGGCCCAGGGGCAGGGCCGGGGCATGCAGCAGGTGGGCGTGGCGGAGGAGGAGTAATTTTAGCTGTGGTGCAGGCGGCTCTGGGATGACCCCTTCAGCAGGAGTGGGCTCTGGAGCCCTAACAGGCATGCAGGTGCCCTGTGGCTGGCAATGGCCAGGTGTCGGCAGGGTGAGGAGATATTTGGGCTCATCCAGGGTTCGGGGCAGATTCCAGCATCCGGTGGGCAGGTGTCTCGGGAGTGGCGGGGCATGGCAGCCCCAGGAGGGGGCGCTGCAGGTCCACCCTGTCCAGCGAGGGGGTTTGGCTCATGCAGAGCAGCTCTCCTCCTCCTCCCCCCCTTGAAGATGGGAGGCAGCAGCTCTGGGTGGATTTAAAAATAGATGAGCCTCGCTCTGGGCAACATACTCGGTTTGTAAAAATAACCCCATCTGAGAGGAGAAAAGCCTCCCCACACCCAAATCTGCATCAGGGCTTGGGGGCTGGCTGGCTTGACCGTTGGCCTCCCACCCATCTGTCCCCGGCCCATCCCGAGCTGGCTGGCCACAGCATGGCTTGTTCCCTGGCCCCCCGGCCCGTGGCCCCTGTGGAGCCGGCCCCGTCCTCCCAGGCCGCCTCAGGGCCGCAGCCCGGCAGGCCCGCATCCACCCTCCTGCCCGTGTTCACCTACCTCTGACCCGCAGGAGATCGTGGACTGGTTCAACGCGCTCCGTGCCGCCCGCTTCCACTACCTGCAGGTGGCATTCCCAGGGGCCAGTGACGCTGATGTAAGTGGCGACTGCTTGTGTCCGCTGGGGGGCTGGGGGACTGGCCAAGGGCCCCCATGTACCCCTCTCCTTTATTCTGGGGCATTTCAGCTCAGTGGCAGCAAGCAAGTGGGGAGGGGGCCGGGGGCGCGTGGGGGAGAGCGACCAGAGGGCCCAGGCCTGAGCCCATCTTCTGCCCTAGCTGGTGCCGAAGCTCTCCCGGAACTACCTGAAGGAAGGCTACATGGAGAAAACGGGGCCCAAGGTGGGTCTGACCGGCTGGCCGGAGCCCCCCCTCCGAGATCAGCGTCTCAGCTACCTGGGGCTGGGTGGGGCTGGTGGGGTGGCCGTGGAGGGTCAAAGTGCCACTAGCACCCCTGGGAGAGGACTCTGAACAGATCATCTTGGACGGCCCTGGACCCCAAAACCTTTGGGGCCCTGTGGACCGAGGGCTGAGCCAGCCTCGTGTCTTGGCCCCCCGTGCACCTCCTCGGGCCCTACTAGGGCCAGCTCAGCCCCTTCCCTGCCTCGTGGAGGCACCCCCACGGTAGCCCCACAGCCCAGACGGGGCCCCGGGGAGGCGCGGCGAGGAGCAGCACGTGCAGAGGCCCTCGGTGCGGCCACCTGGTGGACAGAGCAGGGCGCAGCACTGGCCACGGAAGGCGCCGCGAATGAGTGAAGGATGAATGCATGCATGTGGGGGTGCCCTGCCTCAGGCTGAGCAGCGGGACCCCGGCACTCTCTGACCCACAGCAAACAGAAGGCTTCCGGAAGCGCTGGTTCACCATGGATGACCGGAGGCTCATGTACTTCAAAGACCCCCTGGTAAGGGCGGGTCTCGGCCCAGGCCGGCTGGGCCCTTGCAGGGCGGACGTGTCCTCCCCCACAACGCAGAGATGAGCGACAGGCCCGTCTGCTGGCCACAGGCGGCGGGAATGAGGAGCAGGAGGGCGGGTTGGGTCTCCGGGGTCGGGGCTTCCCCGGCTATGAGCAGAGCCACCCCCTTGCCTAGGGGCTGCCCGGCCTCTGCCCACAGGACGCCTTTGCTCGTGGGGAAGTCTTCATCGGCAGCAGGGAGAGTGGCTACACGGTGCTGGACGGGCTCCCACCGTCCACCCAGGGCCACCACTGGCCGCATGGCATCACCATCGTGACGCCGGAGCGTAGGTTCCTGCTGGCCTGCGAGACGGAGACGGAGCAGCGGGCCTGGGTAGAGGCTTTCCGGAAGGTCGTGGACAGGCCCATGCTGCCCCAGGAGTACGCAGGTGCGTGCAGATGGGGTGGCAGGGAAGGAGGCCCAACGCCTCCTGGGGGGCTGTGACAGGGCTAAACGCCTGTCCTTTTTCCAGTGGAAGCCCACTTCAAACATAAACCCTAACGAGAGACGGTTCTGGAGGCCCGAGGGAACTGGACTCGCTGAAGTGGCCATCGAGGAGGCAGCGGCCAGACTGGGGGGGGGCCGGCAGATGAAGGAACCGGCTTCCTGGCCCCAGCCCTAAGTGGCAGCCCCGGACTTGGCCAGGTGGGGCCTGAGCTTTAGCCACTAGGACCTGTTTCTCTGGAACCTCACTGCAGGCCGGCCGACCTGACCTCTGACCCCACCATGCTGCCACCCACTGATGTGACCCCTGCCATGCCCTCCCCCCCCCCCCCCCCCCCCCCCCCCCTCCCCCCCCGGCCACTGAACCACTCTTCCTCTGAGGCCTAGGCCCGGCCTCCTGGCTCAGGGCAGCCCGGCAGCCCCTCACCAACTCCCCCTGCCCCCTGCCCACCTAACCAGGACCCTGCCCCTGAGCAGGAGGCTGGGCCGTGGGGACAGCGGGTGGCCTGCATGCCTGCCCTCCCCGTCCCGCTCCTCCTCCAAGCCCCCCTCAACAAGTATTTATTGAGCACCTGCTGTGTGTCGGTCATGGGGTGCTGGGCGCTAGCATGGGGGACAGGGTTCCCCTCAAGCAGCGGACCTGGCACGTGCGAGAGGGCCCCGGGGGGTCAGAGGCACGGGGGAGCTGCAGCTCACTGGGCCCCAGCACGCCTGGATTGGGAGGGAGGGTGGACGGTCAGCTCCTGTCCGCGGCCCGCTGGGCACTGAGCCCTGGGAAGATGGGGGCCCAGGCTCCCCCACAGGACCCAGCGCGCGGCTGGCCCGCCAGGACTTACGACCACCTAGCCGCCTCCAGTGGGGGGTCGGGGGCACAGAGAAGCAGCGCGTGCAGGTGGCAGGTACCGTGTGGGTGGCCCCCCACTGCCAGCCATCCCCTAAGGCAGCCCTGGACCAGCCCTTCAGAGAACTAGGAGGGGGTCCCGTCACGCCAACCCTCATGTCCTACCCTAAAGTGGCCCCTGTGTAGGGGGAGGGGGCCTCGGGGTCCCCAGGGCCTCTGCCTGCCCTTGTGGGCCCCCCACCACCCCATCTCCCCTCTGCACCTGAGGCTCCCCTGCTCAGACCTGTGTAGGCCGGGATGGGGGGGGTGCAGGGGCAGGAGAGAGTGCCCCCCTCACTCCCATCTCAGCTCTGGTCCCCAAGACAGCTGGGCCGGGGGGTGAGGACAGTCGCAGGGTCGCCCAGGGCCCCCACCCCCTCCCGCTCCAGGCAGGTGCCTCCTCCCCAGCCGCGCCGACGCCACCACCCGTGATCGCTAGCCCGTCTTCCCCGCTTCCAGCCCCGGAGGGGGGCGGGGCGGGGGGGGTCTCATCCCGGGTGGAAATGAAAAGACAGAGGCCCCCAGGACTCCCCCTCCCCATGTGGGGGGCAGCCCCAGCCACGCATTCTCCGGGACTGGTTTCCTAGGCCTTGTCTTGACCAGACGCAAGGGCACTGTGCCCAAGACACTTAACACGTTAAAAAGAAACAACAGAACATCCTACCGTTGGCACAAGTTCTCCAACGAGGTCGGGAGCTCATGGCCCGCAAAGGGCGGTCACGGTCCTTGCCTCACACACCCCCGGCCACCGGTACCCCGTGCTCCACGGGGGAGACGTGGGCGGCCCACGACCCGCACGGCTACAAACAGGAGGCAGCGTTCCTGGAAAATGGCAGCGCCACTCACAACCGCATGAAAAAAGTGGCAGCGCTCACAGGGAAAGCGGGGTCAGGTGCACGGCCGCAAAGCTGTCTCCTACCCGGGAGGGGGGTCTCCATGTGCTGAGGGTCGAGACAGACGCTGCCACCATGAGGGGAGTGCGGAGGGACGCCAGGAGGTGTGCGCGGTCTGTGCTCATCTACTTAGTTTGGGGCAAAATTCAACATAAAAACCCGCATTCTGCTCCGACGTCCCTCCCACTGGACTGACTGTGCTGGATGCATTTTGTGGTTTCAGAACAAGCATCACGGCACAAGCCGCGGGTCCATCGCAGGCTTGGGGCCTGCCCCTTATGAGGACTCCCTCCACCACCACCCTCCACAGAGAGCCCCGGTGGGTAGTTTGTGGGGGGCTCAGCGCTCTCCTTCCCCCACCCCGTGGCCTGCAACGCAGAACCCGTGCCAAGGCAGGACCCCACTGGATCTGGTTTCTCACATTTAAAGAAACCACCACGTAGTTACACACAGATCACAAGACCTTCCCGACACCGGCCGCTCGTGGCCGCCCACAGCACCCCCTGCGGGCACAGCACGCAGGCCTGGCCACCACTGGTCTTGGCAACCGCTCCCCGCCCGCCGGCCCCAGGAGCTCACTCAGAAAGGACGAGCGCTGCAAAGCCCAGTATAAAGGATTTATTTCAACTCAACAAGTAACACAAACCTTCCTTTAAATTCCATTTTACAGTCAATAAAAGTGTGTATCTCAACTCCTTCCCATGCATGATCACTGTGTATTAATCTACAACTCTTATTTGTGAAAAAATAAAGTGTTTCCCCTCTCGTCATTGCTCTGGGAACCTCTGGTATAGCGTCAGTGAGAGAGGGCAAATCTGCTCACTCCTGGTTATTTGGTTAAAACCTACAATGCCAGGTCAAAGGAACCAATCACCCAATGAAAATAAATACTGCATTACGAAACGTGGAAAGGACTCCTGATCCCAAATGACCGTGGCCTCAGGGTGTGCCCCAGAGCGGCCGCCCAGATGCTCTCCGGGCCACCGGCAGCCGCCCCCTACACCATCTTCGACGGGATCGGGCCTGCGGGCCTGCGCCGCACGCCGGGTCGCCTCCCAAAGCAAACCAGACACAAAGGACAGGGAAAGGGTGGTAGCGCGGCAAGGCCTGTGCTTTATTGTGGGTCAGTCTGAAGGTGCAGGTGCAGCCCAGCCAGCCCAGCCGCAGCAGGCCGCGCAGCCCCGGGCCGGCTCACAGGCGCCCGCGTGGCCGCCATTGCCTCACAACGGGAGCCCCGGGTGTGAGGGCCCGGGGTCAGGGCGTCTTCATGCAGGCCGGGCGGGCGGGGTCAGTCGAGCTCAATGGGGCTGCTGTCGTCCTGACTGTCCTCGCCCTCCTGCTCCGAGGCACCCATGAGGCTGCTCAGAAGGTTCCCTGGAAGCAAACGCAGGGGCTGTCAGGGGCACGGCGGCAGCACTCAGTCAGCACCCCCTGCCCGGGGAACCCCACTTTCCATGGTGCCGTGTTCCGGGGCCCCCCCGCCGAGTCTCTGGGAAGACTCAGTGTGCCTGCAAGGCCCTGGCAGCTGGGGAAGGACCCTGAGGGCCCATCTTGGGGGACAGAGCACGGCAGCCTGACAGCTGTGGAGAATCGTCAGCAGAACCACGTCACGGGGAGGTCACCGTCGAGCGGGCACGCGGGTGTACATCACAAAGAGGTCAGGACGCGTTCACGTGCAGATATGGTGACCACTGTCCCCCCCAGGCTGCCACCACTGACACTTTTATTCAAAAAACAATGATTCAATACAAACTCAGGAGATGAGAAAGTCCCCTGAGGCCAAACCACCATGAAAAAAAATAAATGGAAATGTGAACAATGTTGTCTGGACAGACTCGGGCATGCAAAATCAGGTCCATCAAACAGGCCACCAGAAGCCTGGGTGCCAGAAGGGGCAAGTCTGAAGTTCTGGTGGGAAATGAATAGGCACCAAGCGTCAGGACACCCATGGCGAGGCTTGAGGGCGGGGCGTCACGCCCGAGAGACGCCAATTCACACAAATACCACCTCGGCTTCAGATGCACGCAGCCCCACCCAGGCCCAGATATGGCAGGAGTTCCTTCCACGAGACAAATCCAGACACAGTTTACAAGTAGAAAGTCCAACTGTGTATAACAACTTTCAAAATCATCTCAGACCAAAGACCTTTCCACAGAGCGTGGTATGGCTCAAAGGACGCAAATGCCCAGCCAGGCCAACCCTGCCGGGCCCACGAGGCAGGGTGCCCACCTGGATTTGGGCAGTAGGGCGGGAGCAGCATCACCAAGCTTTGTGGGACAAGCCCCCACCTGAACCTGTCACCTGGGGGCCACCTCAGCTCCGGCAGGAACACACTGCACAGTGCAATCAGTGTGGGGGACATGTATCCTTTACATAGATCAGCCATCTGATTCTGCAACGTCATTTCCAGAAGGAAGCTGAGGAAGGGAGCCTCAATGCTGCCTGGCCGCATGAGACCTCTCAACGGCAAGACCGGTTTAACTACGAGTGGGTGAACGATGAACTCTGTGAAACAGGATCTACTCAAAAATCCCACCACATTCAGGCTCACAAAATCCATGTTCAGATGAATGACTAAACTGGCCGTTGGCTGGCAGAGGGAAGAAGTCCGTACGAGACCGCGGGGAAGGCCACACCATGTTGCCAGGCTAGGCAGATGAGGGGCAGAGGCCTGGCCTCCAACCCGCACCAAGACTAAACCATGAAGAAATGGACCATCTGAACAGACCAGTAACAAGTAAGGAGACTGAATCCGTCATCAAAAATTCCCAACAAAGAACGGCCCTGGCCCTGACAGTTTTACTGGTGAATGCTACTCAACACTTAATAACCAACACCAATCCTTCCCAAACTTTTCCAAAAGAATTGAGGGGGAGGGAGCGCTTCCTAACTCATCCGACACGGCCAGCAGAACCCCAGAGATACTATGAGAAGATCACAGACCAGTATCCCTTGTGAACACGGAGGCCAACAACCTCAACAGACCACTGGGAAACAGGACTCGGCAGCACATTAAGGACGACGCACCACCAACAAGCGGCTTTATTCGTGGAAAGCACAGAGGGCTCCCCGTGAGAACCCGCCAGTGTGACGCACCACGTCAGCAGAACGAGGGGAGGCCCACACGATCGTCTATCTCAACTGCTGCAGGAACGGCACTTGACCAAACGTGACGCTCTCGTTAAGGTATTCAAGAAGCCAGGAACAGGAGGGACCGCCCCCACCCCCCGACACACAGTACCCGCCGTCTCTGAAAACCCCACGGCAACCATAATCCTCGGTGGTGGAAGACTGCCAACTCCTCCTCGAGGAGCAGGAGCAAGGGGAGGGTGCCTGCCCTCACCACCTCCAGTCCACACGTTACTGGCAGCCCCGGCCGTAGCAACCAGGCACGAGGACGAGGGAAGAGGCATCTACAGTGGAAAGGAGGGAGCAAAATGATCTGTTTGCATATCTTATATGCAGAAAACCCTACAGACTCCACAAAAAAGTTGTTAAGAGTAAATGAATTCAGCAAAATAACGGGATACAAAGTCAGCACGTGAAAATCAGTTGCCTTTCTTTACGCCAGCAATGAACAATCTGAAAAAGAAATCATAAAAACATTCCATTTACAACAGCATCAAAAAGAATGAAATACTTAGGCACTAACCTTAACCGGGGAGATGAAGGACTCACGAATGAAAACCACAGACCACGAGGGAAAGAGATTAAAGTCATAAACAAACGGAAGTCCTTCCCAAGTCTGTGGACTGGAGGACTTGACATGCTGCAAAGACCAGTGTCACCCACAGCCACCCACAGATTCAATGCAGTCCCTGTCAAAATCCAATCCCTTGTTTGCAAGAAGAGAAAAGCTCATCCTAAAATGTATATGGAATTGCAATGGACCCAGACAGCCAAAACGATCTTGAAAAAGAACAAAACTGGAGGGATCGCATTTCCTGATTTCAAAACTTACTCCAGGGTGAGCACAGCAGTGTGGTGTGGGCACACAGACACAGAGACCCACCGAACAGAACAGAGAGACCAGAAATAAGCCCACATGCAGAGGGGGCAAACCATCTCTGACAAGGGCTTCAAGACCACTCGGGGGGAAGGACGGTCTCTTCAGCCGATGATGCCAGGACACTGGACGTCCTCGAAAAGAAGGATGCTGGACCCCTACGCCTCACACCATGTAACAAAACCCTCTAAATGGATCAAGGACCTCAATGTAAACCTGAAAACAGTAGAACTCTTAGAAGACGACACGGGGCAAAAGCTTCACCACACTGGGCCAGGCAAGGACATTATGGATGGGACACCAAAGGCACGAGCAGTGGAGGAGAAACATATAAACTGGACTTCGTGAAAATTTAAAATTCCATGCATCAGAAGGCAGTACCTACAGAGAGAAAAGGCAGTGGAGTGTGGGGAAGGGTGAGCAGGCTGAGCACAGGATTTTCAGGGCAGAAACCACTCTGTAGAACTCTCTAATGGTGGATACGTGTGTCTAGACCTATACACGTACAACATCAAAAGTAACCCCAACGTAAACCATGAACTTCAGGTGTCCATGTAAGGTCATCAATTCTAACAAAGTCACCACTCTGATGGGGGCGCCGGTAACAGCTGTGAGGGGGCACGTACAGAAACGGATATTCTCCATACCTTCCTCTTTATCTTGCTGTGAAGCTAAAACTCCTTTTATTTACCTTTTCAAAAAAATTCATTTATTTTAGAGAGTGCACATGAGCAGCGGGAGAGGCAGAGAATCCCAAGCAGACTCCATGCTGAGTGTGGAGCCCAACACGGAGTTCCATGTCAGGACCCTGAGATCATGACCTGAGCCAAAACCAAGAGCCGGATGCTCAACCAACTGTACCACTCAAATGCCCCGCTGAAACTGCTTTCAAAAAATAGTCTTTAAAAAAAAAAAAAAAAAAAAGAGGCAAACCACAGGATGGGAAAAAATGTTCAGGAATTTTATATCTGATAAGGGATTAGTATCCAGTATAGAGAAATCACCAACCTGGTTCAAAAATAGGCACATGACTTGAATGGACACAGACACATACAAATGACCAATAAGCACAAGAAAAGATGCTCAACATCACTAACCGTCAGGGCGATGTGAATCAGAGCCACGGTGAGACCCTCACACCCACTACTGAGGCACAGACAACAGCAAACGTGGGCGAGGACACGGAGAAACTGGAGCCCTGTGCACGGCTGGCGGGATGGGAAACGGGGCTGCTGCTGTGGCAGGCAGTCTGGCAGCATCTCACAAGTTAAACCAAATTTCGACGTGACCCAGCAATCCCACCTCAGGGTATATTACCCAAAGCACTGGATGCAGGGGCTCAAGCAGATGCACGCAGCCCCACATTTACAGCAGCGTTATGGGGTGCACCAGAGAGGAATGGACGAACACAGTGCGGTCCATCCACACCGCGGGGTATGACCCGGCCTTCTAAAGGAAGGAACCACCCCTACCCCCACGGGGACGAGCCAGACACGGAAGGACACGCACGCGGTCCCCGCTCCCACGAGGTCCCGGAGTCATCAGACTCACGGTCACAGAGGGCAGACGGCGGGGCCGGGGCTGGGGGGGCGGGTGGGGGTCCGTGCGTCACGGGGACAGGGTCTCCGTGTGCGGGATGGAACGTTCTGGAGGCGGACGGGGGGACGGTGCCCCTGAACTGGATGCTAAGAAATGGTTAAACAGCAAGTTTTGGGATACGTGTATTTTACCAGAATAAAAAAAGAAGAAATCCACCTTGATTCTATGGCCAAAGGAGAGGGAAGCCCTAGGGCCGACAGGACCCTCTCAGGCGTGTCTGGGAATCTGCTGAAGGACCTCGAGGCCAGCCAGGGACACGGAGCCTCGGGAGAGCGCCACCGCACGCCGGGCAGTGCCAGCGGAGACAGCGCCCCGGGGGGAGGCCAGGGTGTGAGGCTGCCACGCCGGCCCCGCTCCCACCCCGCAGGCGCCCCCCGCTCCGGCCTTACCGAGCAAGCCCCCGTAGGAAGAAGTCTGCTTGGGCGGCACGCCGAAGAAGAGCTGTCCTATCCTGTCGAGGTACTGGAAGAGGACGGGCACGGGGTCACCATGGAGCCAGAACACGCCCCATGCGCAAGACCTCCCCCACGCTCCTCTCCGGGGGCCGCCCGGGGACGGAGGACTTCTCTTGCTCTCCGGCTGCCGCCCCCAGCCTCTCACCTCATTGTACATCGGGTCCCGCCGCAGGGACGGCTGGTACTGCTCACACAACACCGTGAATACGGTCAGTTTGCCTCTGAAACAGGAGAACAGCGGGGCCCAGCTCTGTCTCCACGTGAAAATCACGGAGAGCCGAACAAGAAAAGCACACGTGCACACGCCCCGAAACACATGGGAGACTCACCCGTCTACAGCCAACAGCAGAAACCAGATGAAGTTGAGCAGAGGCTGGACGAACGGAGGGCCGTTCTCGATGGACGGGTGCTTCTGTGTGTACGTTGTGAACACCACCGATGCGCTGCTTTTGTTTTTTAAACAGAGAAACCTGGAAGCAACACCCTAGTAAGTGGGCAACTGATGCAGAATGCAGCGGCATTTCTACAGGTGCTCAGGTGAACATGGCATGTGGGACGCCTCCAGGGGCACAGAAAGCTGTCCAACAGCCTCTGGGCCGCGCGCCTGCACCGTCCCACAGCTCCGGCAAACCGAGGACCTGCCGGGCCAGGCTCGGTGCTCAGACAAGCTGCGCCGCCCCCCTCCCGTGAGCAGGGCACCTCCTGACTGCCACAGTTGATAGGTGAAGAGATGAAGCTTCGGAAGGTGACAGTGTCCAAAGGCAGCAGAGCTCGGACACTGCAGGGAGTTGTCGGGACTACAGCCTGTTTGCACCTGTCAGGCCCCTGCCTACGTGAGCAGTGAGCCCAGGGGTCCGTGGGAACGAGGCCGCAGGCCCCAGGTGCTGTGCCGGGCAGGGGACAGGCTCTGTTTTCTGCCCCAGGGGGACATCTCCACAGCTGGACCATCTGCACTGGGGGCCTCCACCTTGTTAAGCTATAGGAAGGGACCGATGGGAAGGCGCCTGGTGGTTGCACATGATCCCGTCCGGTCCAGGGACTCTGTGCACCATACACCCCACAGCCCGGGGCAGGGAGCGCTGGGGTCTAAGAAACGTCTGTTTCTGAGTTGCAGATGCCAGCAACGCGCCGCTGTGCAGCAGAGCGTGGAAGCTCTGAGGTGCTGTCGAGTGCATACAGTGAGCGTTCTGTGACCCCAACCCCTTGAAATTCCTAAGACATTTCCTATTCCGATGCCCGGCCACCAAACTGGTATGTGTCTGCGGGAGGAGCACACGCAGGAGACGCCCGGAACTCGGGCCACAGACCCCTCCCGTGTGCTGTGTGTGCCAGCACCACCCAGGCCTGCTGCGGGCAGGGAGAGGAAGCAAGGAGGCCTGATGGAGTGGGGACGGACGCTCGAGATGTCCGGGAAGCCAGGCGCAGCCCTGGAAAAGCTTCAAAAGCATGCGCAGTCCCCATTCCAAGACACCTTGTAAAATTTATTAAATATGCACGCCCTATAAAAAATAGCGGCTTGACGCTAAGAAAGCCAAAAACCTCTAAGAGGTACCATGAGAAAACAGACACTGGGGAGTCACAGCAGAACGCTAATTCCGGACACTCACTTCCGCAGCCGCCTGGGAGAGCTGAGAGGGACAGCATGTCCCATGCCGGGAGGTCTGCAGCAGGGTCACAGGGCAACAAGGCCAGGGGACGAGGGACGGACCCGGACAGCCATGGAGCACAGATGGGACCGAGTGAGCGTGGGTACCTACTGTAGCACAGCCTGGGCCACGAACATGTCCACCTCGCTGCGGAAGCCCCTGGAGGTCGAGTACTCCACCAGCATGTGGGCGCAGCCTTCGCCGTCCGCAGAGTGCAGGAAGTGGTACCGGGACTCACAATAGTTCTGCTCTACAAAGGGAAGGGGGACACTGATGAATATGCACGTGTCAGTGCGCCGTCCCTGCCCCCACCCTCCTACCCGCACACAGGGCTCCACCACCGCGTCAAGTTCAGCGACGCAGGAAGCTTTCGGGCTAATAGCACCACAGTGCCTGTCTGCTCCAACACTCAAGGTGTTTTTAAGCGTTTCTCTTTTTTTTAAAAATGACCAAAATCCCAATCTTCTCAACATCAGTAAGTGACTCAGGCTGTAAACCTACTCTCCCCACTCATCACTGAAAAATCTACCTGCTCCCCCTCCCCCTCCACACTGAGGACTCAACACCCCAGCCCCTCCTTTTCCGGCTGCCACAGCTAAGTGGGTGTGCTCCGCAACCGACAGAGCACAGGACGCCCAGGGTGGCAGCTGTGCCGAGGCAGAGACCCAGCCCAGGCCGAGCCACCTCCCAGACCACCTCCCCACACCCTGGCCCATCTCCTGGAGCAGACGGGATCACGCCCCTGTCCTGCTCACAAGCTACCTGGTTCCCACGCCTTTCCAGGGCTCTGGCCCCGGGCCCCTGCTGCCTGCCACCTTCTACCGGGAACACCAGCTCTCAGGGCCCTGCATGCCGCCTTCAGGAACGCAGAACAATTTGGAGTCAGCATTTCTTTGTGCACCTGTGCTGCCTCTCCTCTCTCCCTCAGACCCCCTAGAATAACCTTTTGGTTTTAGAGCATCCTATGAGAAGGGAAATTGGGCAAAACGACACCCATGTGCTCTGGCCCAGCACAAGGCTCCCTCCAAGAACTGGACTGGAACCCACCCTGGAGCAACTCGGGCATGCTGTGGGCCCGGTTCCAGACCAGCACAACAAAGCAAGTTCTTCGACAAAGCAAATCAAACTTTCTGGTTTCCCACTACACACAGAAACTACGTTTAAGCTACACTGGAGTCTGTTAAGTGTGCGGTAGCCTTATGCCCAGAAACGCCTTAAGAAATGCCTGACGGCTAAGGAATGCTAACATCACCTGAGCTTTCAGGGAGTCATAGTCTTTTTTGCTGGTGGAGGGTCTTGCCTCGTCGTTGATGGCTGCTCACTGATCAGGGTGGTGGCTGCTGAAGGCTGGGGTGGCCGTGCCAAGTTCTTAAAATCAGACAGCACTGACGTTTGCGGCCCTGATGGACTCTTCCTTTCATGAGGGATTTCTCTGTAGCGTGGGATGCTGCTGGACAGCATTGTACCCACAGGAGAACTTCTTTCAGCCTGGGAGTCAGTCGTCTGACACCCAGCTGCTGCTTTATCAGCTCAGCTCGTATGAACCTCCGAATTCTTTGTGGTCACTTCAACAGTCGTCACAGCATCTTCACCAGGAGTGGATCCCATCTCAAGAAACCAGTTTATTTGCTCCTCCATAAGACGCAGATCCTCGTCCGTTCAGGTGTGAGATGGCGGTAGTTCGGTCCCACGTTCAGCCTCCACTGCTGATTCTCTTGCCATTTCCACCACATCTGCAGTGACTTCCTCCACAGAGTCTTGAACCCCTCAAACTCGTCCACGAGGGTTGGAATCAACGTCTACCAAACTGCGGTCACTACTGGTATTTTGATCTCTTCCTATAAATTATGTTCTCAGTAACATCTAGCATGATGAATCCTTTCTAGAAAGTTTTCAATGGACTTTTCCCAGAACCATCAGAGGAATCACTATCTATGGCGGTGATAGCCTTATGGAATATATTTGTTAAAGAATAAGACCTGAAGGTTGAAATGACTCCTTGATCCTTGGGCTGCGGAATGGATGTTGTATCAGGCATGAAAACAACATTTATCTTGCAGCCCATCTCCAGCAGAGCTCTTGGGTGACCAGGTGCATTGTCAGCAAGCAGTACTATTTTGAAAGGAATCTTTTTTCTGAGCAGTAGGTCTCGACAGTGGGCTTATTGTTCAGTAAACCATGTTGTAAATAGATTCACTGTCATCCAGGCTTTGTTGTTACGTTTCTACAGGACAGGCAGAGTAGATTTAGCCTAATTCTTACGGGCCCTGAGATTTTCAGAATGGTAAATGAGCATTGGCTTCAACTTAACGTTACCAGCTATATTAGCCCCTAACAAGAGAATCAGCTTGTCCTTTGAAGCCAGGCATTGACTTCTCTCTAGGTACGTAAGCCCTGAAAGCCCTAGACGGCATCTTCTTCTATCAGGCTGTTCCATCGTCACTGAAAATCTGTCGAATGCAGCCCCCTGCAGTAATGACATCAGCTAGATCTTCAAGGTCACTTGCTGCAGCTTCTCGGTCACCATGCACTTTTAGTTTATGGAGAATACTTCTTTCCTAAAAAACCTCACGAACCAGCCTCTACTAGTTTCAAACCCCCGTTCTGCAGCCTCCTCACCTCTCAGCCTTCATGGAACTGAGGAGAGTCAAGACCTCGCTCTGGATCAGGCTTTGCCTTAAGGGAATTTTGTGGCCGATCTTCTATCCTGACCACTCAAACTGTCTCCATATCAGCAATAAGGCTGTTTCGGTTTCCCATCATTCATGTGTCACTGGACTAACCCTTGTCACGTCCTTCAGGAGCCGGTGCTTTGCGTTCACTACTTGCTGTTTGGTACAAGAGGCCTGGCTTTCAGCCTACCTCAGCTTTGGACAAGCCATCCTCACTGAGCTTAACCATCTGTAGTTTGTTATTTAAAACGAGAGATGTGGGACTCTTCCTTTCACTCGGGACAGAAAGGCCACTGTAGGGTCATGAACTGGCCCAATTTCAATATTGTTGGGTCTCAGGAAACAGGGAGGCTGGAAGAAGGGGAGAGACGTGGGACCGGCTGGTTGGTAGAGCAGTCAGCACACACACATTTATCGGCGAAATTCACCCTCTTCCATGAACGCAGTTCCTGGTGCCCCAAAACCAGGACAGTATCAGAGACCACAGTCACAGATCACCGTAACAAGTTATAATGAAAAAGCCTGCGCTGTTGCTAGAACGACTGACTGTGACATGGAGACACCAAGTGAGCAAGTGCGGTTGGAAACGTGGCACCAGCAAGCTTGCTCAAGGCAGGGCCGCCACAAGCCCTGACTTTGTAAAACGTGCGCAACAGAGGGACGCCTGAGTAACAGAACGCCACACACAGCCAACATGCCAAGAGGCGGCGAGCCGCAGACGGCAAACCAACATGGCGGCAGGTGGCTCCGCCCCCATCGGGGGACACACCTCCCTGGAGGTCCCGCAACCTGGGCCTGCCCCCGGGCACCACAGCTTGGCAGACATCCCTAAGCACAGCCTCCAGACACTGTGGACACTGTGGAGCGCGGGACGTGGAATCTGCACTTCTCTCCCTTGGGGTTTGTGCCTCAAGTGCTATGTGTAACTGCGGTCTCTTGAATTTTAAAATCGTCCCATTAAACATCCATGCCTTACAGCTGGCTCTTAGCCAGCGAGGGCTATGAGGGACTCTTGAAGCGTTTTCTGCTTCTTAGCCACAGACACAGGGTCATGCCCCATTTTCTTCCTGGCGTCTCCCCACACGCCCCACACACACAGACCGGGCATAATGGTGCCAAATCAATGCTCGCTGACAACAGAGGTTTGCCACAGGCGCCGCCACCCCCCTGCACGTGCAGACTCAGCGCCCCTGGAAGACAAGGCCAGGGCACCCCCGCCAGCCTGGCAGGCACAGATGGCCTCCCACCGAGGTCAGTGAACAAGACACACCAGTGTCCTGTGGGCAGGACCGACAGAAAATACACGGGGACCATGCTAGTTGGGCAGGCCAGGGTGGCGGGCTGAGGCCAAGTCCAGAGGAGCAAGGCGCCCACGGGGCATGTGCGCCAGAAGAGGGAGCCCACGATGAGACGGCCACAGCCTCGGCCTCGAAGCGTCAGCTGCTCGTTTTCAGGCCCCACGTGCTTCTTGGGTAGGGGTGGGGGAGGGCTTCCACTGCACCCTCCAAGGAGCATTTCCTTGACTGTCTAACCTTTGAACTGACATCTGACCGTTTTCTCGTCATGCCCCTCCAGGGTGAGGGTAGGGCTGGCATGCCAGCATGCAGGGGATGGAGAACCCTCCCGCCTCGTGGGTCACAGCGGGTGGGGACACACAGTGGAGTGAGCACCGCTGCCCACAGACGCTCACACGGCTGGCTTCCCAGCATGAACAAGGGCTGGGTTCATGGCGGGTGCCCACCACAAGCAGGAACGCGCCCTGAGCCCGCTGACTGTGGAGGACACAGACCTGTCTGACCACTGTGCCACTTGCTGCGAGCAGGCTGTTTCCAGGAGGAGCTGTCACAGACATTCTGGTAGAAGGTTGCCCCCAAGTGAAGGAGGCTGCCCCTCTGCTCCCACCAAGGTACCTGCCCACCATCACCACCCCTTCACCTACCCCCTGCCCAGCGTACGGTCGGACCCCCCCACGAAGGCTGACGCACTGTGAATGAGCTGCCTGCAAGGTGCTCACCACATAGGAGACAGCGCTTCAAATTCTCCTGGACAAATGCTGTTCAGGGCACCCAACCAAATGCCTTTTCCTGTGCCTGAGAGCAGACTCAGAGCCCAGGATGGAAACCATACCCAGGAACTGCCAGGATCCCCCCTTCATGGACTGAACAGCCCCCACAAATGCTTATTCAGAAGCTCAGATCAATGTGAAGAAAACACAGAGCAGGGTGCCATCAGAGGGCTGGTCTGGGGAGGGTGTCCCAGAAAGGAGGCTGGTGTGGGTACGGTGAAGGCCCACCGGCAGGAGGGGCCAGGCCGGTGGAGAGCAAAACCTCGGCTCCTTACTTCCGGTGGCCCATGAGTTCACCTGATTAAAGTGGCTAACACAAATAAAAGCCATGTGGGGCATAAAAAGGAACAGCTGTTCCTGGGACGGCTAGCACCCGCCCCTGAGAGGTGCTGTCTGCACAGGTGCCCCCGGCCTACCTTTCCACAGGGTGAGGGCCAGCAGCTGGTGGAGCCGGGGGTGGCCCAGTTTCCCAGATCCTCCACTGGACCACTTCAGGGCTCGAGACACAAAAGCCACTCGTTCTGGAGAATTTGGGTCCATCAAACTGAACAGTTTGGCCAGATTTTCTAAAACAACACAAACACAAACTCTTACCCAAAGAAACACGCTGCTGCTCAGCTCTCTGGATGCTCTATCTTATAGACGTTCACCAAAACAATTACTTCACTTCAAAACCTGGGAATTGGCATGCCGGGGTGTCCTTATCACGCACCCTCCCACACCCAGGACCCCCCCCCAACCGACCTCTCAGCTGCAGAGCCAGCAGCCACTTGCTCTTTTGTGGCCTCAGGGCTCAGCCTGTGTCGGGGAGCTGGGTGGGAGGGGGCGCTCTAGCAGGGAGCTGGCCCGCAGAGGAGCAAGACCTGGGCAGGTAGGTAACATGCTGGGGTGCAGAGGCGGGGAGCAGGCCCCTCCTCCATCCCTCTGGCTGGGCAGCTCCTAAGAAGGACTTCCCCCATTGCACATTTACCACATGGGGCAGGCTGGCAAGCCAGGTCTCCCGGACAAACCAGAGGCCACCGTCCGCCACAGAGAGTGCGCAGGGGTGTCATGTTCCACATGCGAAGGTACCTCATGCACAGTAATAAAGCCTCACCCAGCAGCTCATCGGCCACCTCGACTTCTGCCTTCTCCAGCGACTCTAAGACCAGCATGGACAAGTCCGCAGCACTGTTTTGCTATAAAACATGGAAGTGAGTAAAAATCACAAAAACAGCTCTGGCTTGTTCTCAGAAGCCAAAGCTGGATGGCCACTCTGGTTTCCAGCTAACAACGCATGGTGGACCGAAGCTAAGGACACTACTCTGAGCCCAGCGCTCACTCGGCAGTGCAGCCTGAAGGACCAAGACCCCAGCTGCATGTGCAGCCCCCAGCTCTCTCAGTGGACACTCGCCCAGCTGTGGCCAGTGCCAACAAGGCCTCTCCCTGGACGGTCCTTTTCCAACCCGCAGGCCCCAAGCAGGGAAGGGGACAAGGCCCCTGCGTACTTGGCCGTGGCTGAAGAACAGCAGTGCCCCTGAGCACATGAGTTCCCGCGCCTCTGTGTGCTTGCTCTGTGACATGTATCTGTGAGAGAGAGAGAGAGAGAGAGAGAGAGAGAAAGAGAGAGAGAGAGAGCAGAGCCCCAGTTAGGTCCAGTTAGGCAGATGCTCCACCACACACATCCTCCAGAGTCTGACATACCCTGTTAATGACGTTCGCCCAGCCCGATGGCTATAGTTTGGAGATTAAATGCTAAAGATAAAACGTTTGCATCAACATGAAAGCTTCATAAAGCAAACAATCCCGTACACGGGCACGCAGGCGCCCAGGCCTCCTACCAAAGATGGAGTGGAGCTGTGTTCTGTTTCCAGAGGCCCACCGCCTCACCCGGTGGTCACAGCACCCTGCCCCCCTTGGAGTCTGTCCAGGCTCCACGCTGGGGTGCTCCACGGCCCAGGTCGCCCTGGTACACACGGAGTCCCAGCTGGCAGAAGCTCGGACCTCAGGGGACAAGCAGACCTGTGCCCTACATCTGACAGCAGCGCCCGCAGGGGATGTCGTCTGTGCCTCAACAGGCCTGGAGCAGCTCAACGGTTTCAGCAGGACCCAGAGAAAGGCTGGTTGACTTCCATCTTGAAGCACAGGCCTGCCCGGGTGGTAGGAGCTGCGTGAGGGACAGAGCAGCACACTGGGGTCCATCAGAGAACCAAGTTCAAGGCTGCGCTCGGGGGTTGGGACAGCAGGAGCTCCAGGACGGAGACTCCCGGGTGGGGGACGAGGACACACACGCACGCAGCACCCACTGCGATGTCACTGCGGTCCCCACCCCCCAAGAGCCCCTCCGGCCTGCCTCACTTTCCCACTTTGAGCACATTTCTCAGTTTCCTGAACTGCAGAGACAGAAACACAGAGCAGCCAGAGCCCAGCAACTAACTCAACACAGACCACGGGAGGATGGTCCACCTGCAACAGACCCCGTCCAGCGAAGCACAGCTGGGTGGGAGAGAAAGTCAACAGCAGGAAGTGGCTTCCCAAAGCACAGGCGGAGCTAGGCACAGGTGGTGCCGGACGCTCCATTCACTGGCTGGAATTTAACTCCATGATCATCAGAAAAGAAATACAACCCCTCAAGTCTGTGGCTCACAGTTAAGACACAACCTATTAAAGACACTAAAGCAGCACAGAGGTGCTACCAAGACAGGCAAACACCAAACACACGCACCTGGGAGCCCGTCTGCAGCTCACCCGGACCAACGGGTCAGGTGGGAATGCGAGCGCTTGGCTGTTCAATTAACCACAGAAAAGGTATTTTCTTCAAAAAGGTTCCACAACCAGACACCGCCCGCCCCCCCTCCCCCCGCCCAGGAGAACACAACCCCATCACAGTCACCCACAGGGGAACCCAGCTGGCCCAGACACGGCCCCAACAGAAGACGCCATCTGCTGGGCAAGGGGGTGGGGCTGGTGAGAAGAACCTGCACCCCCAGAAAGAAAACCACCAGCAGCCTGCAGGTCATCTGCACAGCCTGTGGTTTCTGCAACAGCGCTTTTGAGAGCCATCCCTCTCTCCTTCAAACACGCGCACACACACAGCCTACACCCACACCAACCCAGCTCATCCCCGTCTGGTCCTGCTGGGAGCCGCCCTGCACATGACCTGGGGCCAGCACTGCCACGGACTGTTCTGGAAAGACAAGTATTCGGAGGCACACCACCTCATGCTGCCACTTCCATGGATGTATAGGCACTTATCCCAAGTGACAATCTTGCCAGCATGCTGCTACTTACAAAACACAGGACAGAACTCTACACTCCTCTGTCTGATGCACAGCAAGAGACCACCTCTCAGGACACCAGATAAAAGAAGTTGCTAACAAGCAGGTGACAGCAAATCACTGGGGTAACAGGGCCTGCTTTCAAGCACCCGCCTGGGGGCCCAAGGCGGGGGCAGGGCAAAGCACCCCGTCCAACACTCTTCCCATCCAGGTGAAATCACCTGTTGCAGATCAAGGAAAGCCAAAAACAAACAGTGAAAGGCAACCCTGAGAAATGAACGTGCTTCTTTCTGCAGAACTCAGGGAATGGAAAGGAATTTAGTATCTGGGTCCAAGGCTCCGGGGGGCTGAGAGCAGATGGAGCAAGGACCCTCCAGCCCAGCACCATGCATGCAGCCCCCAACGGCAGGTGTACCTGCTCGGCGCACCTTGTGGGCACATGCTGGTGTCATCTGCCAGCCAACAACTGACTGGAGGGGGAGCAGAGGGAGAAGCAGACTCCCCATGGGGCTCAATCCCAGGACCCCAGGATCATGACTTGAGCCAAAGGCAGACGCTTAACTGACTGAGCCACCCAGGCGGCCCTGTAAGTTTTTCTTTTAAAAAATTTTTCTTCATTTAAGAGGCAAAACCACACAAATCTCAGAAAGGCCCCTGAGGGGGAGGCAGGCTGGCTGCAGAGGCCCTCCCGGAAGGTGACGATCCTAATACTGGGCCAAGTGGCCCTGTGGCCACCCCCGCAAAACAGCCATGGAAGCCAGAAAGGGGGTGGAGAATGACCGAGCGCCAATAAAGCAATAGGCCTGAAAGCAGACTCCCTCCTCGTCCTGGCGGAGAAAGATCTGAAGACACTGGGTGGCCACCCGCTGGCACCAGCACCACTGAATGGTCAGAGCCTTCAGCTGCGCCACCAGGCCTCAACTACTGCCCACACCTGAGGCATGCGCACGGAGTAAATCCAACCCACCGCACTGCCCAACCGCGTGGCCCCTTCTCCTTCAACTGCCGTGAGACACAATTAAAACAATGCAATTTGGGGACACCTGGGTGGCTTGGTGAGTTAAGCTTCTGTCTTCAGCTCAGGTCATGATCTCAGGGTCCTGGGATTGAGATCCCTGCTCAGCAGGGAGTCTGCTTCTTCCTCCCCGCTCTGGCTCTGCCCCTTCCCTTGTTCGAGCCCTCGTGTGCGCACACGCTCTCTCTCAAATAAATACAATGTTAAAAAACAAAACAAAACACAGCAATTTGGTGAATGTACCCCAACAGGTAAGTAGGTAACAAGCTGTGGTCCATCCACAGCACAGAACACCACTGGGCAACAGAAATGAACTAATGCTTCACACGTGGGTAAATCTCCAAATAATCATGCTGTACAAACTCAAGATGTGCAAAAAGAGGATATGATTCCACTTACAAAACATTCTAGAAAATGCAAATCAACCTATGGGCCACAGAGAGCACTGGCTGCCTGGGGCAAGGGTTGTGAGCGATGGATTCTGAGAACAGAGAAAAGAACCTTTTACGTTTTCGGTGATGGATGTTCTTATCTTGACTGGGGGTAGTTTCATGGGAACATACATGCCAAAATGCATCAAACTGCACTTTTCACATAAACACTTAAATATAGACACATATATTGATTTACAGAAAGACCAAGAACCTAGTATAACCCAGTGAATCAGACTCGTCCAGGAGCTGCACACCCAGGAGGGTCTCAACAGGACTGGAATCACAGGTCTGCAGGGACGGTCCCCTGGGAGTCAGGGACAACTCCAGGCTAGTTCAGCCAGGCCTTACGGATGGCCATGAATGCCACCATTAACTTTGTCCCCAGTGGGGCCCACGGCAGAGGATTTATTTTTCCCAACTCCCGAGCGGTGTAGGCGCACCCCAGATGCCCCAGGAGGAAGCCGAGGCTGGTCTTAGGTCACAGAGCACAGGTGGAATCCGAAGCCAAGTCAAGGCTGGGATGGCAGAGAGCCTGCTTTCCATCACCACCCCCAAACATGGGCAGAGAGACTTGCCTCTTCACAGCTCATCCCACAGGGCAAAACTGTCTCAAAACAAGAAACATTGTTTATTTTTGGGAAGATCCAGTTTTGCTGATTAATCAGCGGGTAAATACCTGCGTAGCAATCCAGAGAACAGCCAGCACCCGGGCCAATCTGGAGCGCTGGGAAAGCTCCCCTCACGCGGACTTCTGGCGGGTGAAGCTGCCAGGCGGAGGAGGCCTACGCCCAGCTGTGCTCACTCCTGCGCGGGCTTCCTCCAAGCCGCGGAGCCCCAGCATGGCCGGGACAGGACCTCGGAGTCCCCGCAGACCCTGATCCATCGTGTCACTCACAGACATCAAAGCCCAGGCCTGAACGGTGCAAAGGCCCGCCCCAACGGCCCCTCAGTGCCCTACCACAGCAGTTCGGGCAGGAAAGGCCCTCCACGGACCCGACTGAACCCCGACGGCTGTCGTCCAGGCCCATCCCAGCGAACCCCCCCCCCCCCACTGCTCCGCCTGGACCGTCCAGCACCGCCGAGCGCCCCCCACGCGCGACGACGACTCAGACCACAGCAGCAGCGCGCCACAGCACAGCTCCCGTGACCGCGCAGCCCACGCGGGGATCGCCGCAGGCCACACACCTGCCGACGCGCCGGAGCCGCGCGGAGAAAGCACCTTTGACTTCAGCGCGCCCCGCGGCAGTAGCCCGCGGCAGTACCCCCCCGGCACGCGCAGCGAGCCCCCCAGCGCCCCTGGTCCCCGGGCCTCGCCGCCGGGCCCCCGGCACCCGCCGCGCTCTCCCAGCCCCCGGCCGCGCGGGTGCAGGCGCGGGGCCGGGCTCACGGACACGGCTGCTCCGGCGCGAGCCGCGGGGGCCGCGGGGCGGGAGCACGTTTCACCCGCACGACCGGACCGCCGGGGGCCGCAGACCCCGGGGCTCGCTCCAGGCGAGGCCGCGGACGGGCGACGCCGGGTGGGGGCCCGGGGAGGGCGGACGGGGTCGGGCAGGGGGAGGCCGGGGAGGAGACGCCGGGCGGAGGCAGGGGCCGGGCCCGGCGTCCTCCGTCCTCCGCCTGCCGGCCGCCCGCCCGCCTGCTCCGACCGCCGCGGCGACAGGCAGCAGCGCGAGCCAACGGGGGCGCGGGGCGGCGCGGCGCGGCCAATGGGAGGCGGCCGGAGGCGGGGCGCCGGGCTCGGCGGAAAGCCCTGGAAGGCGGCGGCCGCAGCACCGCGGCTACCTGAAGAAGAGGGTCCGGTACATTTGGTGCGCCTCGTAGTAGTCGCCCTTCTCGACGCTGGCGCGTAGCTTGCCCTCCACGCGCTGGACCCCGCCGCGGTTCCGGGCGCCGTTCCGGGCGCTCTCCTGCTCGGCCATCGCCGCCGCCGCCATCGGGCCGGCGCTCCGCGCAGGGCTGACGCTGTCGCAGGCGCGGTCGGCAGCGCCTCTCGGCTTCCGTCCCGGCGGCCGCCCGACGCCCTCTACGGTGGCCCGCGAGGAGCCGCGCGCAGCTGGAGGCGGGCACGCCGGCGGGCGGCCACGTGACCGAGGGGCGGGGCCGCAGACCCTGCGGCGGGCGGCCACGTGACCGAGGGGCGGGCCGCGGGGCGGAAAGACGGCGGGCGCGCACGTCCCGGTGGCGGGGCACGCTGACGCCACAATGGGGACGGCGCGTGACGGCAGAGCGCGGGGCTGCGCCTCCCCGCCGCGGGTGCGCCCAGGACGGCTGGCCCGAGGCCTAGCAACCACCAGTTCAGCGGTCGTTGGGATGCCAAGATTCTGAAATAAAAGCCATGTTTTCATGCTTTCTGCCGCAGGCCGCCCTGGGGAGGTGAGGGTGACCGGGTCTGGGGACCAAAGAGAGGGCCAAGTCCAGGTGACAAGTCATTGCTCGAGAACGAGCAGTCGTCGGCTCGCTTGGACACAGAACCTCCTGTTAACGCGGAGCTGGAGGTCTGGGGGGAAACGGGGACAAGAACGCGCACCGGGACAGCGTGGGGCCAGTGGACCGGTTCTGGGCACGGGGACGGGGGCACGGACGGGCTCTGGGCACGGGCACGGGGGCACGGACGGGTTCTGGGCACGGGCACG